TGTTCGTTCTTCCTTCCCCCCCCCCCCCCAAGCCAGGTGGATGGACACCCCGTGGGTCCCTGGGGACAGACGGACACGAGCAGGATGTGCAACCCGGATGGACGCCCGGACACGTGGAGGAACGGACACCCAGAAGGATGGGGGGGGGTAGGGGGAAGCCGGGATGGACAGACACCCGAGTGGATGGACATCCAGAGGGATGGACGGATACCTGGACAGACACCTAGATGGACAGACGGACACTCAGACAGATGGACACCCAGAGGGACACTTGGACAGATGGATGGACCCCTGGGCAGACAGATGGACACCCAGGTGGATGGACACCAGTAGAGACACCAGGACAGAGTGACACCCAGACAGTGGGATGGACACGCGGGCAGACAGACAGGTACACAGACATGTGGATGGATGGACAGCCAGACGGATGGGCACCTGGAAAGACAGACATGTGGACAGACGCCTGGACCGATGGACACGCAGACAGACAGACGGACAGACCCCTGGGCAAGAGGAACACCCAGATGGATGGACACCTGGATGGACATCTGGACAGCCACCTGGATGCACACCCTGACAGACAGACAGACAACTGGATGTTCAGGTAGACACCAGGATGGGTGGATAGATGGACACCCAGACTGATAACTGGACACCGAGATGGATGGACAGATGGACACCTGGAGGGACACCTGGACAGACAGGCGACTGGACACTTGGATGGAAGGACACTGAGACAGATGGACACCCAGAGTGATGGACAGACAGACTGATGGACACCAGGATGGACAGATAGACGGACACCAGGACAGACAGACACTGGGCCAGATGGACATCTGGACAAGATGGACACCTGGACAACCGGACAGATGGATGGATGGAGACCAGAACAGACAGTTGGACAACCAGAGAGATGGACAACCAGATAGATGGACATCTGGACAGATGGACAGGCAGGCTCCAGGACAACTGGACAGACGGACACCGGGATAGACAGACACTCGGACAACCAGAGAGATGGACA